TCGGCAGGTGCAAAGCGATGAAGAACTGGGGCGTGATCGGCGGCGTGGCGGCGGCGCTGGCGGCCGGCATCTACGTGCTGTGGGGGCCCATCGCCGACAGGAAGAAGCGCAGGAAAGGTGGGCTTGCTTGCAAAATAAAGGGCTTCAACAAGACTGCCCTAGACTATGGATGTGCAATGCATATTTGCAGGGCTAAACTATGGATTATAAACTGTTAATGCATATTTGCAGGGCTTGTGCCTGGCCTTCTCAACCTAGGAAACACCTGTTTCATGAACTCCTTGCTGCAGGGCTTGTCAGCATGTCCATCTTTCATCAAGTGGTTGGAGGAATTTACATCCCAATACAAGACAGACCAGCCTGAACCATCAGAGCGCCGATATTTGTCCCTTACCTTGCTGCACCTCCTGAAAGGTATTAAGCTGCTCAACTTTCAGGGGGTAGTTTATGTTAACAAGACAGAAAAGAAACCAAATATGATGCTGTTTGGTTTTTTTTTTTTTAGAAATGAATTGGAGAATACTAGCGCGAGGTAGTCAAACTCTTAGTACTGCAAAGGTATCTTAAAACAGCCGTCACAATTAGAATGTTATTGGAAAGAAATCTGATTTATTAGAATTACATCCAAACGGTTTCCAGATTCATTATTTGACCCCCCCAAAAAAGAGAGAGAAATGATTAAAATAAATTAGGACTCACTTTAATTGATTTTGATTAAAATAAAGTCTGTAAGTCCATTCCTGCACCCAAGATGCAATTATCCTCTGTGGATTACTGGACATGTTAAGACCTCAGAAATATTTAAGGATGAATAGGTTGTGCCTGGCTTTTTTTGTGGGCCTTTTTTCTAATGGGAACTCCATATAAGTTTTGGTGCGTCTGGATGTTTCCGTGTATTAAAGTAAGAAATACAGTGACACATGCAGATTTATTACCAATCATAAGGTGGCTTTTTATTTTAATATTGGTGCTCTAGTGACACATAAAAATAACTCTAGCTATTCACTTGCAGTTTATCTTTTCACCAGAAACCTGTAAAAATAGGGCATTTCAGGTTTTATGAGGTGTGTAATAACGGTTTTGTGATCAAACCCCTCTTACTTGCTCCGTTTAACATTTTGAATGCGATCTCTCCAGCCTTATCCTGCCAAGAGGTCACAGAAGATGATGTTCTGGATGCAAGCTGCTTACTAGAAGTGTTAAGGATGTACAGGTGGCAGATTTCTTCCTTTGAAGAACAGGTGATTACAACATTTAAATAAATTACAAAGTGTATCTTATTGTTCAGAGACAGAGTAATAGATGACTTACATAAGTGGTGATATTTATAGATCTGGCTGTCAAATCTGAATCCTCTTCAGTGTGGTGAAAATCTTTCTTTAGTAAGTGAAGAGAAGCAGCAGTGTGATAAGTACATGGCACCTTCAGTTTACTTTAAAGATTTGTCATGGAATCAGTGCACAGTTCAGAATCTCATACTTCACAGCCTCAGCGTTTGGTGTGATCGTGCCAATAGTGAGAAGATTTTAGGAGTAAAATTCTTACCCCCTTGAAATCAGTGGGGCTTGATTAAAATCCCTTGCTCTGTTTTTAAATGGGAGCTTATAGGGCTTCTAGCTCTTGGACCCTGCTTTGAGTTCCCAGTCTGAACAGTTGGCTGGTAAATAGTTCAGTTGCCTTTTCCATAAAATACCCTTGGTTATTTTATGCTTCAGACGCAAACCAAATGACAGTTTAGTTCTGCTGTAATAGGAGGACTGTCCATCAGTTTTACCATTACTTTCGCTGGAAAGCAGGATTTGGGATCTTTATGGGTTCTACCCTCTCCTGCACTTGTGATTTTCTACAGCCACAAGTATGTTTTTAAAATTTGGCATCTATTGTTGCAGTCTTCGCTTTACAGAAAAGGTTGCGGGGAAAACATAGCACGCAAATAAGTGGCAATGATGATGATTGTTGTTGTTAAATGTGCGGCATCTAGCTAAGATAGTAAGATTTGTGTAACATTCCCTTTCACCCTTCATTTTGCAATGGTGGGCTCTGATGTGCTCACACACGCTCAGTACATTTGTCAGTGTTTTCAGTTTGATTTTGTCTAAGTTTGATGCCCCCATTTGATAGGATGCTCATGAGCTGTTCCATGTCCTCACGTCTTCCTTGGAGGATGAGCGGGATCGCTGGCCACGGGTCACACACCTGTTTGATGTGCATTCGCTAGAAGTAAGCTTTTTAAAAATGTAATTTCCTTGTCACTTGGTGTTTGCAGGTATATCCGATAGAGCATGTTTAGAGTCTGAGGTTTCTGGTTAGCTAGTAAAGATACTAGGGCTACGATTCTTTCATATCTAAATGCTGGTCTTCCGTGTTGGGAAAAAATGAGTAACTAGAACTAGCAAAGAACAGAACAGAAGGAGGTTTGGAAGCAATACAATATGTTAGTACATTGGTGTTCTGTGCTAGGAGGGGGCTCAGATCTGACAGCACCGGGGCTGTAGCACCTTTCATTAAAGAATCCAAGCCCAGTAATCCATTTAATCAGGCATTCTGTCTCTAATAGTTGCCAGTACAAGATGCCTGGAAGAGGTCTTAGAGAGATGATATAACAGACAGTTATGGAATAACCCATTGAAAAGGGATGTCTTCTTAACCCTTAATAATCATTGGTCAGCTTCTCCCGAATATGCAAGTTTACATGCCGCATACATTTCTATCCTTTGTAAAATACTATGAATATACTATCCATGAAGCTTGTATTAATTCTGTTAATTCCTTGATCCCAGTAGCATATTGCAGATAGTTCTGGAAGTTAATCATACACTATATTAAAAAACATGTCTTTTATCAGTTTGAAATATGTTGCTTTTCAGTTTCCAAATTGCAAGATTCTAAAAACACCCACCTTTGAACTTAAATCTCTCAGGACACTATGCCAGGAATACAGAGGGGATAGACTCAAGACTTTGCACTCTGGGAAGTGGAATTTATTAAAGTCTTTTTTTTCTCCTCTCTGTAGCAGCCAGAAACAACCCAAAAGCAAATAAGCTGCAGAACAAAAGGTAACATTTTCTCCTTTAAGAATGTGAATTGTGCATATTTACTTCTAGATATGACAACAATTGTTTTGCTTACTGAAATAATATTATTGATCTGTGCTTCTCTTAACTACCAGTGCATCTGTAGGCAATATCTACATAATAATAAGGATAATATTAATTAAATAGTTGTCAATGGGATAAAAGTTGTCTTTAAAAATAGTGTATAAAAAGTGTCTTTAAAACAGTGTTTTTTACCACCGTGAAAAAAAATTCATGTAAGACCCCTTATGATCACGGCTGTATTAAGCATTAAAGACAATTGCAACTTTGTATTTTAGGATCACTTCCCCCTATGGCAAGTCACTGGAAATCTCAGCATCCTTTCCATGGGAGACTGACCAGTAACATGGTTTGCAAACACTGTGAACACCAGGTACAAATGCACGTATCCTGTTCTAAACACATACAAAAGGAAGGCTGGATCACTTAGGACATGATTTTGTTGTGATATTTCCATCCTAACCTAAGTTGTTTTTTTCAAAGAGTTAATTTAGGCTTCAGAGACATGCAGGATGAGAGTTTTAGATTTTAAATTCGTCGGGTTGAGGACATGACTGTCAAGTGTCTAGCACAGGGGTCGGCAATGTCCTTGGGCAGAGTGGCAAAAACACCTGCAACCTCGACTTATGACGTGTTGGTGTGCCAGAGGTGAATTAAGGGGGAGCCGTGAGGGACCCGATCCTTGCTGTGGCAATGCAGCCCCAGCCCCTTCCCCGCTGTCCACCCTGAGGCGTGCATGCCAGGTAAAATGCTTTTGCTTGCCCCACTCTGGCACACGTGCTGGAGTTGCCTGCCTCTGGCCTAGTACAACATTGATGATGTAGAAATACCTAGTGACAATGCTAATGAAAAAACTAAACAGTGACCCCACATTATTCTACTGTAGTAACTATTTTGTAACTTAAAATCACTCTTGGCCTTAGGCTGGTACCTGCAAACATATTTTTAAAGATGTGGTAGTACAGGTACTATATTTTTAGAATTAGAGGCTGCCAGTACACATGCTTGAGGGGCGGCAGCGGTAATTAGAGTGGTTCCTGGGCAGCTGCTCTACTTAAAACATCTAATGTCACATCTATTAAGTCCCCACGGACTTAAAAAAGGCCTAGCAGCCTTTTTAAACATTGTGAGGTTTAATACACATAAGGCTGTGGTGACACTGCAGCATTCAAATTACAATGCACAGACTCAATTAATCGAGTCTGCTGCAATGCATTTTTAATTAGAACGTCAGTGAGCATGTGTATAGGCAGACAGATTGTTCATTCCTTTACTGCCAAATCCACCTGTCAAATTTAGTGAATTAAATGCAGTCCTTGGCTCTAAATGCTGGTGCTGGTGGGTAGAGAGGAGATGGTACCAGATGCTTATAAAATTCTTGCTGCTCCTATGGGGAAAATCTCAGATATTTGCAAAGAAAATCCCAAGCTCTCTTTTGGCAGTAACTAACTGGAAGACAGTTCTAATAAAACTGTGATTTTTTTTTTTGAAGTTGTGCTGTAGTTAGAAACATAAAGCCAAATTCAATTTTATTCATTTAGGGCCCAATCATGTGAGATGTTAGTGTCCCTAGTGAGCTCAACAGCCATGGGAGTGGAAAGAGCTCAGGTCCCCATAGCCTGAAGGTTGACCTTAACCCTAGGATCTGTGAAATGCTTTCTTTCAGAGTCCTGTGAGGTATGACACATTTGACAGCCTTTCGCTGAGTATTCCAGCAGCCATGTGGGTGAGCATCTCCTACTGAGGCACGATCCCTTCTGTACTGTAGGCTGCCTTATGCCAAAGCTTTATTCTAGACTCTGCCCATGTCTGAATTTAAGATGCCTGGTGCAGGTGTAAGGCAGCAGTTCAGAATCCATTTCGGCAACTTTCCCACGGCTTTGTGTCTGTCTCCTGCTCTCAAGCTTTGTGGGTGGGCCACGGTTACCCCTGAATGCATTCGTTCCCCTGACATAGATGACACAAAATCATTTACCAGAATTTAACAGTGTACATTATACAGTTAACAGAAGTATTTTTTTTCTTTGAAACAAGGGTCGCCCTTTGACACTGGACCACTGCCTCCATCATTTCATCTCCTCTGAATCAGTGAGGGATGTCGTCTGTGATAATTGCACTAAAGTACGTACTTGTACTCTCCACAGCTCGGTTTCTAGAGCAGGTGACTGAGATTCAGGACTCCAAAGTTGTCTTTCTTCCTTTGCCCCTGACCAGCTGCATGATTTATGGCAAGCTGCTCAAATCATCTTTTCTTATCCTTTCTAAAATGCGGTAATACGTTATGAGGCTTAATTTAGTTTGTAACACACTTGGCAATTTTTTTAATATTTGATAATCGCCAGGTAGTTAGAACTAAACACCCACACGGGGTATTGTCTGATTTTTAAACACTGTTTTACAAGTACCTTGTAACTTGATTGTCGCATGGAGAACAAAAGTCACTTTTCTAAAATAAGAGAGAGAATGGGCAAAGGGTTAGACTTGAACATAGAACCTTTGTGCTCATCAGCTTTTTCTACATATGTTTGTTTCTTATCAGTTTTGCTTTGTAATTTCCATGCAGCAGTATATCCCTGCCATTTTAGGGTTACAGATAACTGGGAAATGGTTTGATTTAAACAATAAATTGAGCACCGTCCCAGAAATAAAATCACCATTGTTGCAGTGTGCAACACGCCTCCCCCTTGCCCCAGCGTTAGTCTGTGTAATCCAATCCTGCAGGTAATTACATGGCTATAATCTTAGTTCCTTTGATTTCAGATTCAGGCAGAAGGGATACGGAATGGGCAAACCATAGAAAACCAGAAGACAACATTTGTTAAACAGTTACAGCTAGGCAAGGTAAGACAAATTGATCTGGACAGTTGGCCTTTTTTAAGCTTGTTCAGCAGCGATTTTTTTTTTTGGTCAGTTTGAAACCCAGTTTTCAGTGTTGAGCTCTGAGAACTTTCCAGGGTATTTTTGCCTTCCAAAATGAGCTTATTTGTAAGCCTTATTTCAGCAAAGCACATGAGCATATGCTTAACTTCTAAGAACACAAGAAGTCCCCCCCTGTTCAGTAAAGCACTTAAGCAGGTGCTTGGCTCAGCAGTGGCTCATTATGTCTCTGTACTTTCACTAGCAATCCCTTGAGATCCTGCATTTTGGTGATAAGCGAAGTGATCCCTACTTTAGAGCCTGTTTGTGAAACAGTCCATCAACCCCAGGGCTCTTAAGAAAATGCTAAAAAAAACCCTAAGGCCATTCTACCTGCAGGTGATTTGGATGAATGGGCAGGATAGATGAAGAAAGCCACTTCCTGGGAGCTGTTTGGGGCAGAGACTTTTATTCTGTGTTCATCCAACTCTTAGCCCAGCGGTGTTGTGGTCCAAGGCTAGATGTCTTCCATGGTATGGTAGTACAATAATAAGTTCACTGTCAAAGACAGGGTTACCCCGAATGCATCACTTCCCCTAAAGTAGATGGGCTCTGTTTAGAGCGTAGTCATAACTGTAAGTATGTGACTTTACTTTCCGTGACGCTTGGTCATTTCACTCCATCTGTGAAACCGGGGCATACAAAACAGTACTCTTTTTATCTCAGAGTAGCACTAACTATAGATGCGCTCACTCCCATGGACTACACTAAGCAGAATATTTGGTCTATTCTGGAAAAGTTTCACAGGATTTGATACTTGAACCTTTTAGGAAGATGGTTGTCTTTTTTGTTGGTCTTTCATGTTGATAGGAAGAGCCTACTAATTGTGTCCAGTGCCCTATCTAGTAAGCAGTGGTGCTGGTGTTATAAACCTCTCTTTTGACTATCGGGCCTTAGATCTTGTATCATAGATGTTTTTTTCTAATGGCTTTACATGCAGAGATGATAGGAAGAGATATTTTAGCTACTTATTCCCCATCCGTTCTCTTGTACTTTCCTACAAGTTCTAGTTAATATGTTAGTCAGTCATTTATTCCCTTTTTCAAAATCAATGGATTTTGAATTTTTATTTCTTGAAGCTGCCTCAGTGTCTGTGTATCCATCTGCAAAGGCTGAGCTGGTCAAACCAAGGCACACCTCTGAAACGTCACGAACACGTGCAGTTCAATGAGTTCCTGATCATGGACATCTACAAATATCATCTCCCTGCCCATAAGTCAAGTAAACATGATCCAAACCAGAAGGGCTCTGCAGGGACATCTTCTGAGACAAAGGATGGACTGGCTGTGAGAACCTCAGGTATTTGATCTGAAAATGAAAAGCATTTGGGTCACAAAGAAAAATGTATTTTATCTTTGATTTTTTGGTTTAAAAGAACATCTTTTCAGCAGCCTCAAGAGTCCCTTGACTCCTCCTTGTGTCTACAGTTCAGTTCTTATACACTACAAATTCTATGTTCTTGGCCTTTCCAGAATTTTGGAAGGTTCATGGGCTATAGACAGGGCAGACAACAGATCTCTCGAGCAGATGGGACTTGGGTCATTCAAAGTTTTCCTGATGAAAAGTAACAACCAACACTATCAGGGAACAAATTAAGCTGCTAGTGCAGACAGATCCTACAACCCTCATGGGAGGTAAAGAACCTGATCTTACAGGCCTGTAGGCATGCAACAAATCCCATTGAGTTGTGGGGGCCCACTCACAATGTCCAAAATACAGTGTTTGAATAATGGCCTTGGGTCCAGCCAGACCTTGATCTCTTTGATACTGACAAGAGTCGCATCCAAATTTTTAAAGAAGTTACTGTTGACAGGGTGCTTGAAGGCGGGGACACCCAGGAAGAGGATGTTGGGCACATGAACTGTGCGCTAGGCAACTCCAAAACTGAAAGAGAAAATCTCCACAACCTTCAGCAAACTGTTCCTCCACTCCTTGAAGCTTGACTGCATCACATTGTGAGGTTAATCCTTCTGGTGTGGGTAGTCCCAAGCCTTCAGCTAATTACTTGAATCAAAGTTGCTAGCCCAAGCTGAACAAAGGTTTTCACAGCTACTGTAGGTGCTTACATTCCTCTAGTCTGTAAGCATTTAACATTGTCTTTGGATAGTCTACTTCCAACCTCATGAAGGTGCGAGTTTTAATTAATGTTGGTCACGGGCTTTCAGGCCCCCTAATGAAGGCCCTGCTGAGAGTGGTGGTATTTATCAGACTAACAAGTAAGGAGCAGATATGTTAAATGACTGGCTATGTCCTCCCTCTGGCAGATGGGGAGCAGCCGTGTAGCACAAAATCGCTCTTTCTGAATGGGGCCTGCTCTCCTTCACTCCTGCCATCTCCCATACCTTTCCCTCTTGCCTCCGTCCCCGATTGCAGGTAAGTCAGACTTTTGTAACTGTCTCATACCTTCAACCTATGCATATTATGGTTTCCTATGTCCCATGTTTATCATGCTCTTATGGCAGCAAAGTTTAATATGCATTCCAGATCCATCTTCCATATGTTTAATATGCATTTCAGATCAGGTATCCATCTTATTGGCACAAATCCCTTTGCTTTTCTGCCTGGATGATTTTTGGCAGTTGTTTTCTCTGCGTATCTCCTCAGCTAGTGAAACAAGTACTGCAAGTGCTCTGCTTGTTTTTCTGGTGACTACCACAGCGAAAAATCAGGAATGAAGCAATCAACTTATTATAGAGCCATTGACCTCCCACTGCCAACTTCCTTCCCCCACCTTTATTTTGTCTTGGCTTTTGCATACATGCTTATGTATGTCTTACAGACTTGTTTTGAACTTGTATTTAATAAGCCTGAGCTGTGGAGGAACTGAGATTTTGCAGCTCCCTGTGGCTTCAGCTAGTGCTGTTGTGGCTCCATGCTTTGAAAGATCATGCCCAGTACTTTCCCTGTTAAAATATTTTCCCAGCACTCTTCCAGTTCTTGGTACTATTAGGACATATGTAAAGAACATACCAGGGACCATTTCCATTGAAGCTTTAAAGCAAGTGATTTTGCTTTCTCAACTGGAGAAGAAGGAAGGACAACAGAGCAGTGAAGATTTGGGGGGATAGGAGATAACGTGATAGTAAGGTACAAGAGTTGTGTCTTACAAAGTGATTCATATAATGAATTGTTTGCTGTGTGGCTAAAAAAAAAGAGCCTGGGGATTCTGCTGTTCTGTCTGTGACACTTGTGCTGCTGACCCCTTCCTCTCTTATTTGCCCTTCAGTTCCCCAGTATACCTCTACCGCCTGATGGCTGTTGTCGTGCATCATGGAGACATGCATTCAGGACACTTTGTGACCTACCGCCGCTCTCCGTCCTCTCCCAAGAGCCCTCTCTCGGTTAGTAACCAGTGGTTGTGGATTTCAGATGAGACAGTGCGCAAAGCGAGCCTGCAGGAGGTCCTTTCCTCCAGTGCTTACCTGCTGTTTTACGAGCGTGTTCACTCAAGAGCACAACACCCGAGTCCAGAGCTCAGGGCTGAGGAATGACTTGGGTGGCTGGAGGAAGCTGAAACCTGATGGAACTGCTCTCACCAGATGTGCGTTGCACCTCCCGTCCAGTATGCAACTAACCCACGACAAGCCCTCCAACATTCCACCTCCCGTGGCATTGGCCGGCTTCTGCAGGGAGCTGGCGTCACGAACCAGAATACCGCTACCCAAAGTTGGTCTGCTAGTGTCGTGCCGTCAGAAGCGTGTCTGTGTTTAAAGAAGCCTTTATTCTGTTTAGGTAGCATTCTCTCCGACCCACGGGTCCAAAACAGGGGATTTCAAGCAGAGACTCTCCAAGGTCCCGTTTCTATTCTGACTTATACATATGTTTTTATATGGAGTTGCTTAGTATAACCCCATTACATTTCGCTGCCGAGGTTTCAAAGCAGGTGATCCATAAGAGCAGTTAATACGATTGCTCTTATCAGAGGCAATGATTTAAAATACAATAAAGTGCCTTGAGCTTATTTAAATGGTTACATTTCCAGTCCGAATCTGCTGCACGTGGGTTACAATCCGATGAGTGTCTATCGAAGTGATGTGAAGAACTGAATCGTGTTTCTTTCAATAGCTCTGGCTAAGCAATGGAAGAATTCATCCGTCCCCACAAAAAAATGCATGATCTAAAAGAGCCCTTTCCTGGTGGTATGTTCTTTTCCTAATTCTTCAGTTCCTTGTATATTCTAAAAGAACTTCTGCCAAAGTAAAGTGCAGTTTATTTTTCAGGGAAAATTCAAGTTGTTTATTAGGTGAAGACACTGATTTATTGTTCCATTCCCTTAAAATGTGTGTGAAGTTAGGAGAGAGCAGCATCTGTTAGCAATTGCTTTTGCCGTTTCTTCTGTCACTAAAACAATCTGATATTATTGCTTGTAGAATCAACTAGCTGAAGCCTTTTAGTGCTCATACTTTAAGGATATTTTAATTGGTCCCCTAGAGTCACCCGTTCCCACCTTAATGACAAACACTGCCATTCCCTGTCACCCACTCAAATGTGTGCCCTCTGACCTCCCACAGAGCTTGAACTGGATGCAGTTGTGAATCTGGGATATGCAGCAACCCGAGTGTCATGGTGAAGTAGAGTATGCATGATTGCACTTACTAGTTTGGTAAAGTAGTACCGAGATCTGAGGAGACTGGTGTCACTGCATTAGATAGTGCTGTTTTTGAGGAGTACTGTGTTAACTGTCTGTGGCTTCTCTGTGCTCTTTGGTGTGTCAAAAAAGGAGTAGGGAGCAGGGGCAAAAAAAAAAATCCTTTGGGCTGTTTCTCTATAAATGGTAGTAAAGTACATGGGTTTCAGAGTTCTTCTCTGTCCTTGTACTGGTGAGATGGGGTCTGAAATGCAGACTAGGCCCTTTCAACATCAAATGCAGACTGAATGGTCAACCAAGAGCGACTGCCTCTGGAAGGCTTTTTCAGCAGTTTTGTACATCATGGACCCATGTTGCTCAGCTACCCAACGTTGTTCATGTACATTTGGAGTTCTCCAGCGGGAGGCTCAAACCCAGCCACCACAGTGTGTAGGGTCTGAAGGCATTGAGGACACTTAGCTGAAGTTACAGCAGAGTGGAACATAAAGTCAATTACAACCTATAAAGAAGTCTTCAGAAATCTCAACGTATCAGGCCCCAAATCCTGCCACTTCTGTGCTGGCCTGTCAGTAGCACTTTTTTTTACCTATTTCTACTTATGTAAAAAATGAAACCAAAAGGATACAAAATGCCAAAAAATGTCCTCGGAGAAAGACTTACAAAAGCAAGGTGGAATGGAGGGTGAGACTCCTTCATGCTAGACAGTGGGCTTTGCAGAGCAGCACTGGTTGTCAGCCAAGGCAAAACCCATCAAGCAAAGCATCCAGCTACAGCTGCCCTGCGAAAGATACTTCTGGACTTCAGCGTGTCTCCAGCTGACAGCAGTGTCTGTGCTGCAGTACCTTGACCCAGCAGCATCTGTTGAGAGGTTTCTCACTCCTCTGACTTGAGTGGGTTTAAGTTGGCTCGTCGGACAGCAGCCAGACAAGCCACTCTGTTTATAATGCAGCCGTGCAAGTCGGATATCACGCACAGGGAGGACTCCAGGTCTTGGAATCGATCAGCAACACAGCATCCGTGTAAAGCTACACGTTGCTGAGAGCTGCTTCTGTCACGTTTTCCATTTCCACTTGCACAGCTCTGCCTTCCGCTCACCTCTTTTCTCTGTGCCCATTTGATGAGAATGAGACTTGTCGCTGTCATGCATCGTTGGGCTTGTTGTGTCACCCTGCTGTCGGGCTGGGAATTCATAGTGACAGCTTTGTCAAGGGCAGAAGGAAGGATGGTTAGGTAAAGCTGGAGTGTTGCTTCTTCCTTTGCAGCAAGGGGAGAACAGGCATTCAGTCCTTAGCCATGGTTGCAAGGAACTAGGTGTCTTGGGTTTGATCCTGAGAAGGGTTAAACAACACGCAGCATCATATCAGCTGTTTTGGGTGTTTCTCACCCCTCAAGACCAGGCACGTTTCTGCCCTAGCCTCCCATGCTTTGGCCTTTGGAAGCCAGCAGGGCTCTGTGCCAGGGACAGGAGCTCCCTCTGGTTGTAGGTGTGGGGTGTCAGGTGGTGCCAGCCAGTGACATTGCTTTTTAGACACTCGGAGTAGAGCTGTTGAGTCGGCGCTTATGACTGGAAAAGGAAAGTTGCGGAAACATGAGCACCTCTGCTTACTCTGGTCAAATTGGTACGACTGCTCTGTAATTCGACTTTTCTCGTTTTAATGTGCATATTATTAAGAGGTATGATGTTAGCATCCAAACCACTGCACTGCGCTTTGAAATTGAATCTTCCCTTCAGGGTATTTTTGTACCTGTCTATACAGTAGCAATAAAGGAATCAAATTAATAGAAAATAGAACTGGCCATGTGTGGTGGTGTCTTGAAATGAAAAACACAAGCAAGAATGTCAGCAGCAATGTCTTTTCTGTTTCTAATGCAAGTGCTTACACTACTGACACGCACACAAGCACCTCATCACCTGTTTCACGGTGGAATACAAACAAGTGACAAGATGGCATATTCAAAGCCTCAGTTTAATTAGGCATACAAATCCCGTGCCACACTTCTGCCGTTTTAGAACGTCAGTGAAAGGGCCACAAAAGTGCTCTACCTTACCTACAGGTAAGCTGCTCTTTGGCCACAGTAACATGCATATTATGTCCAAAGGGTTGTCACTAAAAGAATTGGTCAGCTTTTCCTCATACAAGAATCTTGTTTTATTTGAAACAGATGCAACTCATTCCTCGAGCACACAAAAACAAGCGAGACCAGGCATGAGCTTTCAGACTCGTGGAGAATTACTCTATTGCCTGGTTCTTTGCTGTGTTTAGAAGACTCGTGTACACACTTGAGACGTTTTTCAATCCAAGATGATGTCTGGATGCTGAGAGGGACTATTAGCTGGGCTCAACAATAAACCTTCCTGAATAAGAATGGCAGCAGTATACCATGGGGGCTAATGCAGTGCTTAACTGTGGGAACATAATCTTGCCATCCCAGATCAAGTGGTTACAGGGTTTACAGCTAAACAACCGAGGGCTGTTCCACCTGTCTGTTTCCCTAGCATAAATACCCTTGAATTACAAAGCTTTCCCCTCAGCTAGGTTCCCATCTCCTGCTGCCTACGCGGCATTGAAGGCCATGCCTGAAATAGAAGCTAAGTAGCTCTTGTGCAAGGGAAGAGAGCTCCTGATTTCCAAAGCCAAGGGGGCAGGCATTCAGCTGTTGAACACCTCACCGTTTGACTGATGCCATCACTTTCCGAAAGGTCAGGTTGATTCTTGGGGCCAGCACCTTCTTGCGGGTTGGCAGGCTGTGGTACCAGTACAGGTTGGTGGGGTAGTTCATCATGAGCAAGCTGCCATGGGCAAGCTGCAGCTTCACCGGCTCTATGTGCCGCGTGGCGTTTTTTCCTCGGGAAGCTCCGTGCCTGAAGAAGAAGTCCCTGCAGGCCCCAAAGGACACGGAAGCAATGGGACTCTGTGGAACCAGCTCTCGCTCGTCATCACGGTGCTCCCCCATGTGATCACGCCCGTCTTTGTACCTGTGGGGGAAGAGTACTTAGTTCTTCCACCCATTCTGCTTGCATGCCACATGACCGCATGCCAAAGGCATACCCTGGCACTGTCAGATTTAAACAAGGCGTGTTTGCCGGACAGTGCTAATGCTGAATTGAGCAGCCAGGGACAGGATCCCCCCTCGCCTGTCTGTCTCCCCTCCAAAATTACTCAAATGCCTGCTGTGTTTGAGTAATGCTGTGTTCACTTTGCAGTGACTGCTATTACCGGCTGCACCAGTCTAGGGGGAGTCCAGGTATGTAGTGGATCAGTAGTAACAGGATGCACCCCTCTTATGGGACACCAAGGAAAAAGCTTTAGGTCTCACTCTCAAGTACCCCACCAATTCGTTTGCACTGATGTGAACTTTACATAACCATAACATGCCATTTAGTGGGAAAAGCAAGGTGGCAAATTTCCACTGAAGGTTGTCCACTCAGTGAGACAACCGGTACTCGGTGTGTAATATGAAGGGAGAGAAGCTTGGTTCCCTCTGAGCCAAACGCACCTGTTAATCAGAACAAAATTGAAAGTGTGCCCAGTGGCCAAGGTGACGCGGTCTCTGATCCAGTGCAGAATGGGAATCCAGGGCTTGGGTGAGAAGGTAACGCCCGAGTAGGTGTAGGTGAGCTCAGGGTCTCCATACGTCACCTGCTTCCGTGGGACGATGTGCCACTTGCCAAACACTTGCACTTTAGCGAGATCACCTGTTTGAAGGAGAGTTTGGAAAGGTCAAGGTCAGCCTGCCTTTCCTCCTACAAAATGAAACAGCAGTGTCCTGAAGTTCAGAGCAGGCTTGAGTGCAAGGAGCAATCGGTCCCTTCATAGAGCACAATTTCCCTGATGCAGTGCAAGGCTAGAACAGAACAGCTTCGCTTAGGAAACGGTCAGGTCTTGAACAGTCGAGAGCTATAATTAGGTTCCTTGGAACAAGAAAAGTGATCTGGGATTCTCCACCTCCTTCCCTGCTGTTGGTGGGGAGTGGCCGCCCCACTGGGGCTAGCTGTAACATTACAGCTTTGCCACAACCCCCAGCCCTTTCACCTGCAAACACTACGGGTGTGACTGGGCTTGCTGGAGTCTGCCTACCTAAAGTTAAGCCCTTGCATCTTTATTGAATCAGAGCCGACATGTGCTGTTGTGCGTGAAGGGCCTGACCTTGCAAACAAATCTATCTGCAGGGATCTTTGTTCCCACATGGAGCCCTGCTGAAGCCACTGGAGACCCATTCAGGAACCAGAGCCCATGTAGGTTTGGGCCCGGAGTGTTTCAAGACTTCCTCACTCCCTGTCAGTGATAAACCAGAAGGTGTTATGGCAACTACAGACAGACTTTGGTCCCGGTCACTTTGATTACCTTCAAAATACTCCACCTCCTTTTCCAGCTGCTGGAGAATCTCATCAGCCTCGGCTCGGCCAAAGAGGATCCTGTAATCGCAGCTCAGCCCCTCAGCCTGGACGTGCTGCCATGGGGAATGTGGCAAAGATCCATCCGTGCCTGCATTTTCAGGCCGGGGCCTTTTCCTCTCTCCCCCACTCTCTTCTCCCGCACAGTCCAGGTCTCCGCATGTCTCCTCCGTGGTCACGAGCAGCTTTTGTTTGCTCCTGCCAAGGGAAGGCTTTTTGACCAAGAACTTGTCCATCCTGCTTGGGCCCCACAAACGGTCAGAAACCGGCACCGACCTGCAAACGAGAGGGAGGGCAAAGGCAGAGTAGTCTGCAAAGGGATTCAGGGTTGCAACCAACCAAAAAAAGGCTTCAAAATCCTGGCTTACAGCTCAGGGAGCAGCCAGTAAAGTACCTGAGCTCCTGGACCCAGGCCTGTCATCATCACACACTTCACTGGGGCTGGCCTCTGAGGATCCAGACCCTGACACAGCCACACTTGCAGCAGCTGCTTCCCTCCCACCACTTCCTGTCTGCAATGCTCACGTGCCCTAGGGAGGACGGGCTTGCTTCTGCCGGGTGAGGCTGGCCGCAAAGTCCACGGCCACCACCTACCGAACCTTCTTGGAAATGCCTCCGAAATAAATATAGCCGCGCTCGCATCAGCCTGACAGCAGCTGCTCTCTCCCCGGGGCCACGAGGGGTCCTGCAAGGATAGAAATGACTCAGTTCAGGTCTTTGTTATCCCCCTGCAAACTGCCTAGTAAATGCTTATTAACAGATGACTCATTTTCTGTCCCAGCTAATTGGGTCCCCCGCAAATGACACGTGCCTCCCTCACTCCCGAGTCATCCGAAAGTGCAGGGAGCGTACAGGAGTACTGGTCCAAGGACATAGCAGACAGCACACCTGCTAGAACAGGGGCTGGATTGCGTCTCGCTACCCTGGGCAGGTCCCCCAAGAGTTTTGGCAGTGCGGCTTAGTGGTCATGGAGGTGTCTTGGGTCTTGTGAGAGCTGGGTCTGTTCTCAGCTCCGTCCTGAGCTTGCTTTTATGACCAATTCGCTTCCCTCCCCTGCTCTTCATTGGCGCTGTGAACCCTCCAGAGCCCCCATGAGTCTGCATCGTGGGGTCCTCATCTTTATTTAGGTTTCACTGCCACATCTAGCGAGGAACTGTCATTGTGACGCACAGCAATTACAGCTCTAATTATCCAGTTCCTCTTGCAGGTGCAAGCGGGGGCCACCTGCAGGCCCTACAATTTGCAGCCCTTCCTTCTCCAACGCTCGGATTTTTAACCCGCGAGCGGCCTAGCGCGTACAGCAGTCATCCGGGCATTGGGACATCCAGACCCTGCTGCTATTTCAGCCTCTTTGTGCTGGTCTCACATCTGTAGCTCGGGGGGTAACAACGGCGACCCCAACTGCTGCAGGGGCGGAGACCCTCGACACGCCGCCGTGGGCGCTCGCGATACAGGCTGCAGCGGGCCGGGAGCGGAGCAAAGGTGCTGGAGGCGAGCGCGTGGCGTGAACAGCGCTGTCACGGGGCAGAGGCGGCGTGAAGCAAGGGGCCTTGCCACCACTTCCACTCCACCGTGCAAGCCAGTCGCACTGGGAGGGACGCGGGGAACAGGGGCCTGCTACACACGCGCCACGCACAGTTTTCTCACGTGTGCACACTTGCTCTACATGCACCATCCCACATGCACACTTGCCTATGTGCACACCCGCCCTACACGCACCTACCCCATACATGTGGGTGCATGCTGCACACACACCTGAGCCCACCCCTCCCTTCTCCAGAGCGAGGCTGCCACCAGCTGTCAATCAAGATGCCGGGGCTATTCTGGGGGATGCCTTGCGCATGCGCACTCGATAGAACGAGACCCCCCCGCCCCCCGGCAACTCCGCGCATGCGCAGACACTTGGCGCCAAATTCCATCTCCCGCGGCGGCAGGAGCCGGGTGCTGTGAGGGGCTGAGGGGAGGGACGGGAACGGGAACGGGGACACAGCCGCCACCATGATCGGGCAGAAGACTCTGGACTCGTTCTTCAGCTCCGCGCCGCCGCCGCAGCGTGACCGGTCCCCGGAGCCGGGCGGCAACACTGAGGTACCGCGGGGGGGGCAGATACTACCCCCCCACACCGCTCACGCGGTGCCTGTTTGAGGGTGGGGCCAGTCTTCCTCTCCGGCCAATAGGAGAGCCAGGGGGGCGTGGCCCCGCGGCAAGCCGACACTCGGAGGAGGCGCGGCCAATCAGGAGCGTCCCCCTCTCCCGGCTGCCCAATCGGAGGGAATGGCGCCTGCCTTCCGGGCGGCCAATGGGGAGAAGCGCGGGCTCTTCCATAGCCCATTAGGGAGTGGGGGGCGGGCTCTCGTGGGCGGCTGCCCAATGGGCAGGGCGCGGCGGCATCACGTGGGCGCGGAAGTGGCGTTTTGCCGCGAAATGGCCGCGTGCG